AAACTGAAGAGAAGGGAAAATACCCTACTTAACTCTGGGAGGACAGCACTAGCTAACACCAAAATCAGATAAAGACGAGAAAATTCCAGAGCCTGGCACGACAGCACACACTTGTATCCCAGCATTCGGGAGACTGGGGCTGGAAGATCGCTGAAGTTTGAAGCCTGCCTGGGCTACACAGTGAGTTCAAGTCCAGCCTGAGCTACATAATGAGACCCTATCTGAAAAACAAGAAAGAAACCCTTGTGAAGATAAATGTAAAATCCTAAACAAAAATACAGTATTAGCAAGTTGAATTTAACAAATCAAAAAAATTATTTTCCATGAGCATGTGGGATTTATTCCAGGAATACAAGGGTGGTTTAACATAAAAAAACTAACTCAATATATCAAGTGAACTGGAGGCAGCCAAGCATGGTAGGTGCATGGCTCTAACCCTAAATACTCCAGAAAGGTGAGGTAAAAAGACCACAAATTCAATCCCAGCCTGGACATCTTAGCAAGATCCTATCTCAAGAAAACTTTTAAAAGCACTGGAGACACAGCTTGGTGACAAAGCCCTGGATTCAATCACCAATCACACTGTATCCCACCTCATGAAAGAGAAACAGAAAACCCTATGGTTGTCTCAGTAGAATCAAAAAGGCACTTTACAATATTCAACACATTTTCATGCCAAAAAGTCCTTCGTAAACTAAAAATAGAAGAAAATGTATAAAAACCCCACAGCTAACATATTTAATGATAAAGACAGAAAACTTTTCTTCTAAAAATAAAGGGAGTAAAAGGCATCAATTTGGAAAGGAAAAGTTAAACTATAACTTTTTACATAACACAATCTATAAAGGGAAAATCTCAAAGAAACTATAAGAAAGCTAGAGCTAATAAATTAAGAAAGGTTGCAGAGTACAAAACAAACACAAAACATCAGCTATGCTTCTATACATCCGCAATAAAAATCCTGAAGAAAAATACAAGAAAGCAATTTCGTTTACAACAGCTTCTAAAAACCATGAGTAAGTCTAACCAAGAAGACAGACTTATAAGACATAACTGAAAAATAGTGCATGTTTTAAGTTTTCAAAATGTTATTACAAAAGTAAAAGGTACATTACCATTTCTCCCCCAAATACCCTCTGCTGTGACCTCCTGTAGGCCATCATTCCCACCCCTTCTGGATGGCGCAATTCTGGAGGGTGCCCTGCTGCGGCTGCCTCAGGGTCCTGAGTTCAAAGAGTGTTCACAGTCATCCTGCCTCCTAGGAAGAGCCAGGAGTCCTGGTGCCAGGGCCAGTTAATGAGGCGGCTAAGGGCTAAGGACACACCTAACGCTTCTTAGAAACACTTCCCAATTTTTTTTTTTTTACTGCTCCTTTTTTTTTAGAAATTAGAAATTAAAGGGCTAAGAAAATGGAGTGATACATTTGCTATCCAAAGCAAACCACATATTCAACACAGCCCCTCTCAAAATTGCAAGTCCTTCCTGTAGAAATGGAAAGGTTTACCTTGAAATTCATTTGGAATTTCAAACAGCCAAAATAATCTTTTTTGTTTTGTTTAAGTTTTTATCGGTACCAGGGATCGAACTCACGACTGCCTGCTTGCAAGGCAGGCGCTTATGCCACTGAGCTAAATCCCCAGCCGCCAGCCAGAATAATCTTGAAAAAGAAGGATGAAGTTGGAGGACTCACCTTTCCCAACTTATAACTTACAAAGCTGCAGTAATTAAAACAGTATGGTACTGGCATTAGGACTGGCATTATTCCATTGGTCTGTAGGCATTCCATACAGACCAATGGAATAAAATATAGAACCCAGAAATAAACCCTCACATAGTAACAAAGGCTATGGGAGAAATGGGATATCCATACACAAAAGAATGAAACTGGGTCCTAAGTTAATATCACATAGAAAATTAACTGAAAATGGATCAAAGGCAAAAAGTTGAGAATTAAAATCTATGTTATGTGAACAAAAGCCCAGGCAGAATCCTGACAATGGCTATGACAAGCACAGGCAACAAAAGAAAACTAGGGAACCGGACTTCATCAGAATTAGGAATGGCTTGCTCTGCTGGACATACACAGGATCACCAACGTGTGTGCTTCCAAGGGCACCATCAACATAGTGAAAACCAGTCCAAAGGGTGGGAGAAGAGAACTGAAAATTCCGTATCCAACAGGGGAATATGTGCAGCACCAGAAAAAGCACAAAGCATCTTGCAACCTAATAGATGGTAAAGCATCTTGGATCCAGTGTCAAAACCAAGCAGTACCAAAAAAGTGTAAGATAAAAGTATTATAAAGAATTAGGAACTTCACTGCATTTTCACCAATAAGAACTGAATACAGAACATGTGCGTGCCTTGCTTATATGGGAGGCTCTCGGTTCCATCACCAGTACCCGACACCCTAAAGAAAGCTTGTCATAGCAGGTTTATTCAGCAGGAAACAATCCATATGGTATAGACACATAGGCATTAAACAAGCTGAATTAGAAGCTACACATGTTAAAAGCTGACTGAAAAACAAGTCGAACTTCCACTCTTTGCAGATGATGATATCAATACACCAATGATTTTCTGTAGACACGCTAGTTACATTATTACTGATGAGATCTAATTTTTATGCCTTGAGAGTCCAAGCACTTTCCAATGTAGCAAAGATTTTTCTAGTACTACAGGAAGAAATAAAAGATAAAATGCAGATGAAACCTCAGAAACTATTGCACTTTATGGAAAGGGACAATACTCTTCTTCATCATATCATTAGATGGCAATTTTTATTAAGGAATTGACTGATGAACACAAGTACGGCGGAAATTATAAACACTCATGCCTGGTACACAGCCTCCACACCCGTGGCCTGCAAGTAAAACATTTTTCTAGTTTTTAATATTATTCAGTATTATTTAATACATATTTAATAATTATTATTTAATATTATTTAGTACACATATCCATTGCTCCTTTACATATAATGTCCAGCATTCAATCAAAGAATTATGAGGCACGTGAAGAAGAAAAAACTGTCATGGCAAGAGAGGTTCAAAGAAACAGACCAATTAAGAGGTAACACTGCTCAGTAGCACAGTGCCTGCCCAGCATCCCCAGTACTACAAAATAGGGGGGAACGATCCACAAACAATAGCACAGAAAATATATGTAAATGCTAAAAATTCAAAGAAATATAGTATCAGAAATAACCCTTTCAAAGAATTTACCAGATTAGCATAGTAAGGAATCAGTGGCAAGGTTCACAAAATGATCTAAATTACACTATAAAAAGTTGGGTGTGCATACAGAAGGAAAAGCCATCCAACCTACGAGAGGACGTCAAACAGTTTCATTCATGTGTTACTGGAGTCCCAGGAAGAGAAAGCAACTTGCAGAGGCAAGAGCAAAGAATTTCTGACCTGATGATAATGAAGATCTATTCAAACCTCAGGGTCACAGGATGTTTTCAGATGTGGTACCTTGAAAAGCACACAATACTCTGCAAAATCTATCGTGAACTCTTCAAAAATGCCAAAGTCATTGAGGTTCAAATTAAAGACTAAGACACTGACAATTAAATGAAATACCCAGGATTAGGTTCTAGATCAGATGGGAAATTATAAAATACATTACCAAGGCAACTTACATACTTTAATACACACGATTAGATACCATCACAGTATGCAGGGCTACATTTCTTCAATTTGATAACTGCAAGAAAACATCCTTGTTCGCAGGAGTAAACTCCAAGCAGTAAATAAACCTATGACGTATATAATTTAATCAGGGGTTTAGAAAGGTATGGATGGTGTTAGAGACACACATGAGGTAGTGAAAGGAGGGAGGGAGGAAGGGCGGCAATGATACAGCAGTGTGATGAAACGCTTTAGTAAGTACATGGGCTCCTACAAGGGAGCCCTAACTTAATTTAAAACAAAAAGGTTTAGAAAGGAAAGACAGACAGACCCACACACACACACACACACACACTGAAATTTCTGCAAAGATACACCTGAACTAAGAAATTGTCAGTCAGTGAGGAGAGGAAGATGTTGACAAGAAGCCTCTATACAAAACCCTTAGGTGAGAGACTACATTCCCTCCAGTGGCTCTATCTCCACTATCAAAACCAGAGTGGATGGGGGGTACAAATCGCATTTTAATTTCACTAATCTTTAACTGATATTTTTCAATTATGAATGCAGGCAAAAAGCAATAGTAGTTTCAGCAGTACCTATGATTTTATCACTAACAGAAATTATGTTTATTTTCACTTCATACCAGATTTTTAGATTATCAAAGTAACATAGAAATCGGCATTTTCTTATTACATTTGCTGCTAGGCTATATTTAATGATTTAATGTATGATAAAATGCATGACCTATCTCAAGTCTGCTTATGTACCTTGATAACTTTATTTCAGAATAATGGTTTCTTTGAAATTCTATGCATTTAACTTACTCATTTACAAATGTTATTCTGAAAAGGAGCCCACAGCTTTCAAGTGCCCAGTCTGCTCAGCCATGGGCAGCACAAGGGAACAAAGGACCTCCTCTCCTAAGTGTGGACACCCAGTCAGGAGGAGGGTAGCCCATGCCTGCAACCCCAGCGCTCTCGAGGCTGGCCAGACTGGGCTACACAGCGAGGCCCTGTTTCAACCTCAATTCTCAAAAATGTACATACACCTCATCTGCCAACTAGTCATAAAAAGAGAGCTAAAAGTTGGTAGCTTTCGCTTTGCAAGTTATAAAATGATGCAATTAGTAATAATGACTGTTTAATATTATTTACAGTAATTCCTAAATTCCTATAATTACCAGAACAAAATTTACTCAAAATATGAATTACAACCACACACAAAGCATCCAAAAATCAATATAACGCATATGTAAAATATGCAGGTGCACAGCAACCTATAAAAATGAATCAAGATTATGAAATGTCTCACAGAGAAAGTATGCCTATACATATTAAGAAACTTGGTTATGAACAAGATACTATTTACCATCTTTCTTTTGGGAAATTTTTTAAAATTTCTGTAATGATTGGCTGGTAGCAGGCATCTCTTTCTGCTTTCCCAGTTTCACTCCAGTCTCTCACGAACTGTTTCAAGGTAGATTTTAACTTATCCATGTCAAATGTAGATGCTGGCATAATCTTTCCGTTCCCCTGTTCAGAAAAAAGAAATCGATTAGCTTCTGAGAATCAATCTGAATAGGAGTGAACGGACATGCTACTACAGGGCCAGACAGGCAGCACAGGGGCTAATCACTAGCCTCTCACCTCACTGGGTTCCACTGCAGCATGAGATCCTAAGCAAAAATATCCTCAACAGATTAGGGGTCATTAATCATAAAACCGCCAAGAGAAGACCAGAACTGAGCTGCTCTGGAGACTGGACGTCCTGTCTTCTAAGAGAGGAAGGACATCCCTGCAGGCCGTGGCCGGAGCAGCAGGGAGAGGCTCCCTCGGAGTGCCCGCCTGTATCTATCCCATGGATAGAGAAAAGAAGACTTCAGTTTCTAGTACTACCCGTCCCTTTAGCGTTCCATGAAAATATTTCTTGAAGAAAACGATGTGTGTCAATAGATGAGATAGAAAAAAATAGGGGTTTAGCAAGGGAAATTAGTTTTACATAGCTAGCAAAGTCATTTATAAAAACTTACATGCCAGAACATTAAAACACTACCTCGAAAGGGTATCAAAATGTGAACACTATCTCAGCATTGAAAAACAGAAGCAGCGAGCTAATCCAGTTCCTGGCACACACTTCAATTCAGCCCACGTTAAGTGGACGTACAATGGAAATGTTGGCTGAGTAACTGACCTGCAGGAGACTATAACACTGAAGTCCAGGAAGGTAATGAAAGACTTCAAAGTTTATTACGTTAAACCCTACAGTAAAAACAAGTAGAACAAACTTTCACATACATCTTCTCCATATTCTTTATTTTCAAACATATGTATGCAATCATTCACAATGGTCAGTAGTATTTCTTGATTATGATCAATGCATTTCCGGATCTTGTCCAAGTGAAGAAGAAACTGAGGAAGTAGTTTCTGTTGATTATCTGGAAGTGATCGAAATTGTCTTTCTGTTCGGTTCACTCGCTCATGCATACTGGTGCTAAAACATAAAAGGTGTTTTTTAATTGGCAAAAGAATTCTCAGCAGAGGCCAACCTTAAGATTGTCTTTCAACGTAATTATCCCCTTATGTTGGATACTGTTCTACTATTTACAATTCGTGACTTCTCTCAGATGCCAGCTTAACAAGTTCTGCATATTTCTGCAAATCCTTCTCACAGCAATCACACATAAGATAAATGGCTTATAAGCAGTTAATGTAAATATCTTCACCAATTAAAACACACATAGGGAAGACAGGTACACAATTATTTTTATGATTTCAATTTTTAAAATAACTATTTTTCATGCAACACTAGTTGACAAGAAGCAAAATTTTGGGCCACCAGGTGATGCACACTTGTAATCCTAGCACCTGGGAGGCTGAGGCAGGAAGGTTGTCTTGAGTTCGAGGCCAGCCTGAACCACATAGCAAGACTCAGTCTCAAAAAATAAAACAACACAAAACAAAACTTTGCTGTGAAACAAATATACAATGAGCCGAGGTACTCAGTGCTACAGTACCTGCTTAGCACGTGTGAGGCCCCAGCACCGCAAAAATAAATTAATTAATTTGAATATTTAAAACATGTTTTGAAATTAAAAGCCAACAAAGCTGAATTTTTAAAAATATCATAAAAGACTTTATATACCACAAAAATATTGAACAAGTGAAAAATTAAAATTCTACGGTGTTTTACATAAACATTCCCAATTTGCATTCTGAAATTTTCCAGAGTAAGTCTGTTGTAATTTTGGGGGATTATTTATAAATAAAATTAAAATGAAGAATTTTCCTTTTTTTGAGGCAAGGTCTCACTGTGCAATTCAGGCTGGTGTTGACCTCATTGTGTAATCTAGGCTGGCTTCAAATTTGCAGCGCTCCTCCTGCCTCTGCCTCCCATCTGCTGCAATTACAGGTGTGTACTACCACGCTTAGCTATGGCAACATTAACTATGTAAGTTAAAAGTACTGCACACACAGTGTCATTTTACATTAACCAGACTGCTGATCGTATCAAATGTTGCTGAAAATGCAGAATAATTAGGACATCTATGCACTAAGGTGGGCATATAAATTTTTGGAAAATAATTAGAATTACTGAGCAAAGCTTATTGCAGCATTTACTGTTGCCCTAGCAACTGTACTCCTGTACACTCAAACTTCCACCAGTGAGCAGCACCAGAGAACATGAACAAACTTCACCAGAGCATGTAAGAAGTAACAACCCGACCCAGAGGTCCACTGCAGTAGCCTGGATGAAGAAACTGCAGGACACACACAATGGAATCAATGAACTGAGTAAGTTCGCTACACACAGTAATATCAATAAAACTCAGGAACATAAGTATCTGTTAAAAAGAAAAAAAGCAAGCTGCAAAGTACACAGGTACAACTCCACAAGGAAACTACAAAGAACGCAAAGAAAATAAAATTCAGGAACATCATTGTCTCTGAGGGAAAAACAGTGGCAGATTCACACGTATTCGCTGTATCCTACCTTACCTTTTCTTCTTTTTTTTGAGACAAGACATTGCTATGTACTTCATGCTGGCCTTGAACTTGCTCAGGTTGACCTCAAACTCACAGCAATCCTCTTGCCTCAGCCTCCCAAGTGCTGGAACTATAGGCGTGCGCCACCATGCCTGGTTCTTCTTCATTTTTATATGTAAATACACATACCACCCATATATAAACCATATGCACAATGGAATCCAGGAGGCACCTATAATTCTTCATTCTTACTAGAAGAATATTCCTAGATTGGAAAAAAGTTCTCAAATATCCTATGATCACAATAGTTATTTAACATTACAACCTATGTACCTAAATTTATACACACACATATGTTCATATGTTTTAAAATGTCTTTTGGCATGTACTCAATACTAAACAAAAATGAAGAATATTTTTAAAATTTGGTTGCCTAAATTATTCTCTCAGCAAACAATTTTCAATTTTGTATCCTTAGGTCAAACTATACTCTAATTTCTGAACAGAAATAAAGAAGTTTAAAAGACGCTCTTGGCAAAATTTCAGCATAAACCTAGTCACGTTTTAGGACGCCTGAATTTGGTAGGAAGTTCTCAAGGGCAATGTGAAGAGGTCATTTCACCGATTTGTTGTGTGTCCCCAAAATTACTTTCTTCTTCTGGGCCCCATGTCTCATATAAAACATGAGAATAGCAATAAGGATAGTAATGACCATAATCACAGAGACTTCCACTTGTTGAAAATAGAAGCAGGGCACTAAACCAGCTACAAAACATGGAGTAGCCCAAAAATGTCCATAAAAACCCGGAAGGTAAGGATCCTCCTTCATCTACCTCAGCTTTCACTGAAAGTGAAACTTAGTATGTGACACAGATTGCTGGCTGAAAACAGTAAAGATTCAAAAAACAGCATCGAATTTATAAAATTAACATTTTCACAATGAAAATATGAGAAATGCAGAAAAATAAAATACTCAGGGAAAAAACAGCCAATGACACCCTCATTCCTGGAGAGTTTCAAACTTCTGGCATAATTCTGTTTCATTGGTCTCCTAGCATCTTTTTAAAAAAGTTGAGTGAAACTGATGGATTCTAATTGTACTTGAGAAGGGCATATATGCTTATGAAGTGGTGATGTTCGGGTGAACAGTGGAATGATTAGATCAAGCTAATTAACACAGGGTCACCTCACAGACTCAGCATTTCTTCCTTCTGGATAAACACAACTCTATCCTCTGACCAACAGCTCCCCCTTCTCCACCCTCCCGTCTGTGGTAATCAGTGTGCTACTCTGCAGGGAAACTGCTTTAGATCTCACTCAGGTGTAGCTCGAACAGGAGGCATCTGTCCTTCTGTGCCTGGCTTATTCCACCTAGCACCTTCCTATTCAAAATGGTTTCACAGAGCAGCAGATCAAGTGGAAATGCTTAGGAATGCAAAAATCTCACATCCTACCTAAAACCACTGAGCTGGAATCTGCCTTTTTGGCCCGACCCACATACAATTCACGTGCACAATGAACTCAGTCTTGGAGGCACCTGTAGTTCTGCATCCTTAGCAGAAGAATTTTCTGAGACTGAAAAAAAGTTCTCAAATATCATACAATCTCAATGGCGATTTAACATTCCATTTTATATGGCTAAATTTTACTAAACTATTACCTCCCTACTGGGAATTTACACAAATGCATTTGTCTTCATGATGAGCTTTTTGTGTTTGAATTCTGTCCACATGGTATTTGCTGAGGTCTGAATGCTCTACCAAAAGTAAGCTGATACTTATTCCCAATGAGGGGGTACAAGGAGGGCAGACATTTAATCTAGCCATGGTATTTCGAGGTGAGACCTTTGGGAGGTAATTAAGGTTAAATGAGGCCGCAAAGGTGGAGGCCTAACACGAGGAGAGTGTGGCTTTATAAAAGGTGAGCTGGGCTGTTTGGCCTCTTTATTACCCTATGATGCCTTATGCCACCAAATAAGATCTCACCAGATGATTCTGAACTCCCTACTGTTCAACATAGTAAACTAAACACACCTCTCTTCCTAAATAAATTATTCAACCTGAGGGATTCAGTTACAGGCCAGAGAAAATAATCAAAGACAGTATTTTAGAAAAAAAATGAGCACATATTTTCAAAAGTACAATACTCAGACCTGCAGGGATTGTTTTAAAGGCTGCTGATTCAAAATACTTTTCAGAAAGATTCTGCTAGTTTGCACTGCTATTTAAAATGGCCTTGATAAGCTGGACAGATGGCAGGGCTGTAGCAGCTGGCATTCTCGGTCAAAGGGATAAGCAGTCTTACATTTCTCTCTTCCAGGTCTTCTTGGGCGATGGGGTACATCATGCCTCCCTCTCACCACACCTCAAAACTCAACCCAAATGGGGCTGGAGGTTTAGCTCAGCGGCATAAGCGCCTGCCTTGCAAGCAGGCAGTCGTGAGTTTGATCCCTGGTACCAATAAAAATGAAAAAGACAAAAAAAACCCCACTCAACCCAAATGACATCAGCACCACCCACAAAAACACCTACTCCTTCCCACATTGCAAGTACGCTCAAGCAGGAAATGAAAGTGTTACCCCCAGGTGCCTCAGCTCCGACCCAGGACACTTATCTGCAAACTTCACTACCTCTAGTGCTTCACCTGCCACAGGCTCCACTGCATCTCCGAAATACTCAGAGACCCCGTTCCAAAGAATGCTGTCCCCAGCTTCAAACTGTCCCCAACCTTTTGCCCCCCTCCACCCAAACTGCATGAATTCTTTTAAAATCTAAGTCTCACCTTTGTCCCTAGTGAGTCTGTGTTGCAGTGTATGGAAAACTAGTGAATAAATACTAACTCCTACTCTCAAGGGACTCTGGGTTCTCTGTGGAGCCGCTCAGTACTACGATGCCAGGGGAGTTGCAGTGATGAGTCACGCTGTCAACTGCTGATGCAGAAGGGAAGGAACCACACAGGGCTGGGTAAGATGCAGCAATCTTCAACTCCTGGTACCTCAACGCTGTGCAAGGCTACCTTAACATACAGTCATGCAGACACTCTTCAAACTAGGAGGCATCTGGGCTGAGGGTGTAGCTCAGCAGCAGAGCACATGGTTGGTGTGCCTGGAACCCTGGGAGCTGTCCACTACACATACACAGAGTGGTGCCATACCAGAGGAGAGACCATGACTTTTCTAGCATACTATTATAACTGGGGCTTACTTCACTGTCCTGTTAACTTTTATGCTATTGTCCACTGGCCACTTGGTGATCTTCTCGGCCTACTTCCAGAACACCAACAGGCCCACTTGTTTCCACAATGCTTCAGTGTGCTTTCATGCAAGCGCAGAGTTGAACAGTTGCAAAAGGATCTGCCGGACTTCAGAGCTTAAGTTACTGCCCACCCTGTTTTAAAGCAATGTTTTCCAAACACACAACTCTGGTCCTGAAGTAAGTTAGGGTCAGGAAGTCACATCCATGCATCTGGTGTGGCGGCACCTGCCTATAATTCCAGCACTCTGGAAAACTAATGCAAGAGGACTGCAATTTAGGGACAACCTGACACTCCTGTTTCAAGATACACACACAAAGCAGGGGTGCACCTGGTGATGTAGCTCGTGCGAAGGCCCTGGGTTCAATCTCTAGTAACACCCCCCCAACATTCTAGCCCTAATCACATCTCCTACATATTCACAAGAGGTCATTAAGCAGTAAAACCAAACTCTCCAAAATGTGGAAGTACTTGCTATGGGAGTAGACCGGCCATCAGAACTGACTTTGATGATGATGAGGCTTGTATCCACAAGATCAATACAGCTGATACTGGTCAAATGTGGCTATCAATCACTGAAATGTGGCTGATGAGAATGAACTTTAAATTCAATAAAATCTTAATTTAACCTTAAATTTTGCCAGACATGATCAGTACTGCATAGTGCTACTCTAGAATACCATGATCTATTAGCATGCAATACTCTAGTGTTTTCTGCTACACAATTTCTGTCTACATCTTGACTCTAAGCGACATATTTTGATATCATACTATCTTCAGTCCAGTGATCCAAAGTATTTCATCTTCAGAGTAAGTAAAAAAAGATGTTTTTATTCATCTATTTTGATCTTTTTGAGACAAGGTCTTGCTATACAGTTCAGGCTGGCCTTAAGCGTACTTTGTAGGTCAGGCTGATCTCAAAGTCACAATAATCCTCCTGTTTCAGCCTCCCACATGCTAGAGTTACAGGCATGTACCACCATGCCCAGATAAACAAGGTGTTTTAAAAAATGAAATTCCTCCCTTTCCCATGTGAAGCTGACAGAGATGAACACAGAGACATTACTGTCACAATCACTAATCCATGCACACAACACCGTTTCCTATCTGGCTACACAAATGACCAGTTTCAAGTCAAAGCTCTTTTCTTACTGGCCCATCCACTATTTTATAATATACATTAATTCAAGTTGGGTGTGGTAGTGCACAACCGTAATTCCAGAACTCAGGAGGCTGAAGCAGGAGGAGAACCGTAAGTTCAAGGCCAGCCTGCTTACAGTGAGCTCAAGACCAGCCTGGAATACATAGCAAGATCCTGTCTCAAGAACAACAATAAAATGATGATAATGATAATGATAAATGTACCAGTCTTTTCTGCACTATCCCTCAGTATCTGTGCCAGCCACCTTCCCCTCACTGTATGGTTCTTCCAGGTATAATTCTTTCATCAAGTTTAATGCTCTTGTGTTCTGTTTTCCTCCCTCAGTTGCTATTAAATCTAGAGAAATAAATATACAAACCACTAATTTCCTTTTGGGCTCCAAAGGTAGTACAGCCCACAATCTGTATTACTGGGTTTAATTAAATTATTTCATCAGGATCTTTGAACTTTAAAAAATCCCTGACACTGGGGATGGATGATCAGTTCAACCGTAGAACACATCTTTTGTGTGTCCAAAACTGTTACAAATGTAATCGGATTTTAAGTAATTTTTATACTTCTACTCAGCAAGTTTCTAAATTCAAACAGTAACAAACAAAATCAGCCACTCTGAAACTGACAGGCTATCTGAAAATGATAAATGTTACTTCTTTGCTACCATGTTTTATTTGTTAAAAATAGAGCTTCAACGACATTTGGCAAGCCCTAGTGACATAAAAATAAGTAAGGCTTAATCCCTGCCCTTGACGAGGTCACAGTCTAGCAGCAAATGTACACGAATAACTATAATACAAATGAGATTTCGAAAAGGTTTTAGATGAAGAACCCAGCAGAACCCCATTTAAACAGTTTTACCAGCCTAAGTCATTACGTATCTGCCGCTGAACTGGATACAGTCACTAGGGGACTTCCACATCATTTACGGGGGATGAGCATCTTTACCTGAAAATCCAGCTATCTAAGTCCTTTCAGACCTTGGAATTATAAATTGTGATTAAACTATTTTAATATCTACCGAGAGAAAAAGATGTTAACGTTAGGAAATCGTATTTTGAGTGAGAATTATACAGCTCCCGGCAGCACACCTGGCCCAGGAAGAGATTTCGATACACACCTGCAGAATGGAAGAGTAGAAAGCGGCTCTACTCCGCTTTCCGTCGTTCCTCGGCCTTACAGATCAGCCCGCTGCGGGAAATCGGGGTCCCTTCTGGCCTCCGCCACCCCCAAGGCAGAGCGGAGAGCTCATTCCGTCGCTCACCCCGAAAGGGCGCGAGGGCGGCGCGGCGCGGTGCCCACGCGTTCGCACAGGAACCAGCCAGGGTGGAGGAGACAGGACTGTGCCACGGTCCCCACGTGTTTGCAGGCCGACCGGCTTCCCGTGCGTCCAGAGACTCTTAACAAACACCCACCGGACCCGGCCCGAGGCGGCTTCACCGCGCCGTTCCCTCAACGGTCGCGACACCCCTTCTCGACCACCCGAGCGGGAGCTCTGCGCAGGGCGCGGGGCAGGCCGGTGGCGCCCGCCAGGGCTTACCCGTAGTAGCGGAAGGCATTGATGATCTTCCAGAAGTGCTCGCGCTCCAGCCGCTCCTCCTCCTCCTCGGCGCTGCGCGCCGCTTCCGCCGCCGACAGCGCGGCGGCCGCGCCAAGGCGCCCGGCGCAGAACTGCACCTCCACGGCTTCGCCGTCGTGCCCGCCGCCTTCGGGGCGCTGCGGGGCGGGCGCCGGGGGGCGCCGCCGTCGCTGCATCGCCGCCGCGGCCCGTAGCCTGGCTCGCTTGCGTCGCGCCGAGACTGAGAGCGTGGCGGCGGTGGCCCGGCGCTCCTCTAGACGGCGCCCGCCGCGGACATGCACCCGCCCCGCGGCGCGCTCCGCCCCCGCCGCCGTCAGGCCTCCCTCCGCTCCCGGCTCCGCCAGGTCTCCAGGACGCCCCGGACGTGCGCGCATGTGCGTGCGAGGCGCGGCGCAGGACCGCGGCCACCGGCGCTCATTTGCTGCCAGGCTTCGGCGGCGGCGCGCTGACGTCACGACGACGCTGCCAGGGGCGTGGCTGGGACCAGGTGGGAACGGAGCGGGGCGGGGCGGGCTCGGGAGGGGCGGGGATTTGAAAGGGAGGGGCTCCCGTGGGCGGGGCCCGGGGCGGGGCCTGCGCCGGGAGCGCGCGTGGCCCGCAGAGCAGAGGGTTGCGGAGCTGGCGGCGTGCAGGTCCGGGAGCGGGCGAGAGCAGGGCTGCGGGCTCCGGGGAAGGGAGGGAAAGGCTGGAGGAGCCCGGCGCTGGTGGGTTGGCTTGAGCTCTGTGATTTTAGGGAGTCCGACGTCTCAGTTTATTTCCTAAATGAGTAGCTATTAATCACGTAAGGTAGGGGGATGCACAATCGTTTTCCCAGTGTCTAGGGGGTCTGCGAAAAGTCCTGACCCAGGCTTGAGGCAGTGCGCTGCGCCTGTACTACCAGCTGTTCCGGAGGCTGAGGCGGGAGGATCTCAAGTTGAGGCCAGCCTAGGCGACGTCGCAAAACAACGAAAACAAAAACCAAAACTAAACATTCGCAAAAGTCCTAATCCCGCCCTCACTGGTGATGGCACCTTTGCTTGGAAAGACCAAAACACCCGACAGCCAGTATGTAACACTGACCAATCTCATCCTGTTTACCCTGCTCTGGTTTTGTTTTGTTTTTTTTCCCTCTCCATATCTCTGGGCACAGTGCTACAGAACTGTCCTACCTGTACTTAATGTTATTCTTAGCCAATAACTCAGTGTAGCTAGCCACTTAGCAAAGCAATAGTAAAATAGTAGTACAGAGGAAAGATTGTCTTATTCCACAAAGTGTTGAAAAATATGTGTAATCATATTAAAACTGTCCTGCAAAGACTGTAGTGTTTTCTTACAAAACTGAATGTGTACTCACCACGCGACCCAGCAACTGCACTCTTAGGCATTCATCCCACAGAAACGAGTGCACATGTGCACACAAAGCCTGTACGCGTCAGTTCATGCCAGCCTTTTTTGTAAAAGCTAGGAATTGAAACATTTCGAATGTTCTTAAGCAGATAAACTGTACACTACTCACCAACAGAAAGGAATGAATGCTGGTCGTGGTGGCACACACCCAGCAGCTTGGGAGTCTGAGGCAAAAAGACTGCCAAGTGTGAGCCCAGGATACACAATTTGGTGAGGTCCTGTCTCGAAAAGTAACACCGGACTGGGGATGTAACTTAGTGTGAAGGCCCTGGCTTCAAGTCCCAGTACCACACTAATAACTGTAATTTTAAAAAATTAAAATAAACAAAAAGGAATGAATCAGTCCCCAGCTCCACAAAAGAAAAGCAAAAACTCATGAACTATTGATGTATGCAATAATACATAAAGGTCAAGGAAATTATGCTGACTAAAAAAAAAAAAAAGACACTCTCAAGGGGTCACATACTGTGTGGCGGCATTTATATAGCATTCTTGAAATGACAAAGTGTAAAGACTGCACATTAATAGCTGTGGGGAACTCATGATCCTCCTGCCTCAGTCTCCTGAAGCGCTAGGATTACAGGTATGTGCCACCACACCTAGCTTGCTGTATCTTGATTGTGGTAGTGGTCATACAAATCTACACACAAGGTGCAATTGCATCGAAATTATTATGCATTCCCATGCACACACAAATGAGTGCATATCAAGCTGGTGTACTCTGGATATGCTTCATGAGTTATATGAGTGTCAGTTTACCAACTGTGAGCTTGTAACTATTATAAAAGATGTTGCTATTGGGCAAAACTGGGTGAAGTGTATATGGGATCTGTTTTGGTTACTTTTCTCTCATTGCTGAGAGAAAATATCGAACACCCAAAATGAAGGAAGGAAAGGTTTATTTAGCTCACTGTGGAGGTTTCAGTCCATAATCAGGGGCCCTAAGGCAGGATGGTGTGGCACTTGGGCAACACTTCAAGGCAACAGCCAGCAAAAGCAGTCATAGCAAAAAGGGGAGAAGAGAAAAGCTCTTTTCCGCCCTTACATTGTACACCAGGCCACCCCCTCTCCAGGGCAGCTGTAGTACTTAAAATCTCCTTGCCTTCCTCTTGTTCAGGGTGAAAGTATTTACAAAGTAAATACAAAGTAAAAACCCTGGCTCCCTGCTGAGTCTCTTAATTAAACTTAACTTCTTAAGTTGACACAATGTATCAACCAAAACAGGATCTCTCTCTCTCTGAATTATTTCTTATAATTGCATGTGAATCTAGAATTGCCTCAAAATAGAAAAGATGATTTTTTTTTATTCGTTTGATTTTGCTTCATTTTTTCAATGAAGGCTCTTACTGTGTAGTTCAAGCTGGTACATTTATTATGTAACCCACGCTGTCCTTGAATTTGCAGTGATCCTCCTGCATCAGCAGCAGGGATTCTAGATGTACATCCCACATCTGGCTTGTTTAGATGGTTTTGTGGCTGGAGATTGAACCAGGTCCTTGGCAAAGATAAGTACTCTACCACTCAATGGTAGGCAAATGAATCTGTTTAAATGACACATAAATTTGTTTATTCCTATAGATATAATTTCACATTTGAATACAGGAGAAATTTCTAAGTAAATTAAATACTTTTTCATTTTTAAGAAAAGATGTTGCAATTAGGGGAAGTTGCATATAAAATTAGGAACAACAGTATGAAGAAACCTCAGTGGATATCTCTAAGACTTTTAAGATGATCACCTTGCCATTTTTTTCTCTATCAATAAAATAAATGTCCTTAGTATCATCTGAGACCCAGTTCTTACAACTGTTTCAAAGATGATTTTTTATAGTGTTTTTACAAAATCAGATTATGCAGCTATATATTTTAATCCTTATCAAATCCTGTTTCTCTCTACCTTCTTTTGATCATGTCCTTAATATTTTCCTTCTTTTGTGTTTCTTTCTTTTAAGAAAATAGGTTTGACTACAGAACGCCCCACATTTTGAAATCAACTGTTTTCTTATAATGTTATATCTTGTTTCTTTTACTCAATATTATGTATTAAAAATTCAGCATATAGTTTTAAATAGCTATAGTTTATTTTCAAGGTATGAAGAATGCATTCAATAAACATATTACAGTTTATTTTTATTAGAAGACACCTTGTTTTTATCCATGTACATCCCAGCAAATACCAGTGCACCCAACTATATACAATTACTAACAGATATGAAAAATAAAATAAGCTCTAAATATAATTTTTTTGGAAACCTCACTACCCCACTGTCACAAAAAGACAGACCAACAACAAAAAATCAATAATGAAATATTAAACTAACTCAAACTTTTTGAACAAATGGACCCAGTAGATGTCCAGAGAGTGTCCCACCCCACAACGTCAGAATACACATTCTTCTCAGTTGCACGTGGACATTCTCCAAAACAGCCCATATAATGGCTCACAGAATATGCTTCAGTAAAGGCAAAGAACTTGAAATTATCCCATGCATACTATCAGACCACAGTGCAATGAAATTGGAAATCCATGCCAAAAGAAACCCCAAGAACTTCATAAACACGTGGAAATTAAACAGCACCCTACTAAACAACCAAGAGTCACAGATGAAATTATAGAAGAAATTAGACAGTTTTTATAGTTGAAAGATAACAATACTACAACCCGGAATTTGTGGGACACAATGAAAGCAGTCTTAAGCAAGAAATTTATAGCATTAAATACCCGTATCAGGAAAACAGAGCAAGTGTATTTGGACAACTTAATGTAATACCTCAAATTTCTAGAAAAAGAAGAGCAGGCTAAGCCAAAAGCTCATAAAATGGAGGAAATTATAAAGATCAGAGCAGAAATTAACACACTGGATACTTAAAAAAATACAAAGAAGCAATGAATCAAAGAGTTGGTTCTTTGAAAGATTAAATAAAATTGTCAAACCTTACCCAACCTTATCAAAAGGAAAGAAAAGACTCAGATCCACACAATTAGTAATGGAAAGGGTGAGATCACAACAGTCCCTGCAGAAATCCAGAATATCGTCTATACCTACTCTGAAAACTCATATTCACACGAGATGGAAAATGCAGAGGAAATGGACAGATTCCTAGATACATATGGATTACCAAAGTTGAATCAAGAAAATATAAAAATTCTAAATATAACCCAATATCAATAAATGAAATAAAAAATGTAATTAAAAACCTACCAACGAAGAAAAGCCCAGATTCACTGCTGAATTCCACTAGGGATTTAGAGAACAGCATTACTTCTCAAACTCTTTAATGAAATTGAAAGGGCAGCAATACTTCCAAATTCATTCCCGGGAAGAAGCATTATGCTGACACCAAAACCAGAGAAGGACCCAGCTAAGCAAGAGATTGATTTTCCTCATGAACATTGATGCAAAAATCCTCAGTAAGATACTGGCAAACAGACTACAGCAAATCGTCAAGAAGATTATACACCCTGATGAAGTGGAATTCATCCCAGGGATGCAGGGATGAGTCAACATACGTAAATCCATAAATGTAATCCGCCATATTAACAGAGCCAAGAACAAAGATTATATGATCATCTCAATTGATGCAGAAAAGGCTTTTGACAAAGTCCAGCACTCATTCATGATAAAAAAAAAATTGGAATAGATGGTGTTTATCTCAATCTGACAAGATCCACCTATGACAAACCAACAGCCAACATCAAACTAAATGGACAAAAACTGAAAACATTTACTCTAAAATCAGGAACAAGACAAGGATGTCCACTATCTCCGCTCTTATTCAGCATAGTTCTGGAAACTAGCTGGAGCAATTAGACAAGAGAAAGAAATAAAAGGAATAAAGACAGGAAAGGAAGAAGTTAAACTATCATCATTTGCAGATGACATGATACTCTATCCAAAAATTCCACCTAAGGACTTTTAGATTTAATAAGCAAATCCGTACATAATGTAGCTGGTTACAAAGTCAACACTCAAAAATCAATAGCTTTCCTAC